CTCTCTCCAACCAATGTTTCAACTGCCCCCCAGATAACTCTATCTGGTTGTCCCAAAGACACCTCAAACTTGGTGTGAATCCATCATCTCCTCTATCAACCCCTCTTCCTTCTCCTGAATATCTTGCATCTGTTGACAATTCTGCCCTACCTAAACATAAAAGACTTTTACTCACATTTGACCCCTTCCTTTCCTGCATCCATATGTCACCAGTTGCCAAGTCCAACCAACTTTGACTCCTTGGTCTCTGACATACATACGCTCTCCTATCTCTTGCTCAAGTTTTCCTGGCCTAACTGATGATCCCCATTTGCACGGTCCTCCTTCAACATCTACTACCCAATTACACAAGATTAAACTTCTTAAAACATGGTTTTAACTCTACGAATCCTCTCCCTCTGAACACTTTTCATTTTTCTCTATCAGTACATAAGTAAATTCCAAACTCCTTGTCCTACCATTGAATATTTTCTGTTGAGGACTTATCTTCATCCTCTTATCCCTATTTTATTTTCCACTACCCATATGGCAACTTAGATTCCAGAATTGCTGTTCTAGAGAATGTACCAATTTTTTACCTCCAAGTCTTTGCTCACGTTGAGCCCTTGACTTGAGTGCCCTTTCTCCCCACTCCCCTGCTCCCCAGCAGCTATCCATACTCTTCACAAATGCTACATCAGAGCCTCTCCCAACCACATCATCTAGAAACAATTGGTCTCTATCTTCCCTCAACTCTCATAGAGCCTTCTCTTGTGTCTCAGGAAAGACATTTCTTTAAAGATTTTTTTAAATTTATTTATTTGATAGACAGAGATTACAAGTCGTCAGAGAGGCAGGCAGGGAGAGAGGAGGAAGCAGGCTCCCCACTAAGCAGAGATTCCGACACGGAGCTCCATCCCAGGACCCTGAGACCATGACCCAAGCCAAAGGCAGAGGCTTTAACCCACTGAGCCACCCAGGTGCCCCAGAAAAGACATTTCTTACCTTTTTTCCTAAATTATATAGTTACTTGGATGAGTGATTTTCTTTTTGTATAAGAGTGTAAGTTTCGGGGCGCCTGGGTGACTCAGTGGGTTAAGCCTTTGCGTTAGGCTCAGGTCATGGTCCCAGGGTCCTGGGATCGAGCCCCACATCAGGCTCTCTGCTCGGCAGGAAGACTGCTTCTCCCGCTCTCTCTGCCTGCCTCTCTGCCTACTTCTGCCTACTTGTGATTTCTCTCTCTGTCAAATAAATAAATAAATAATCTTAAAAAAAAAAAAAAGAGTGTAAGTTTCTTGATGAAAGAATCTACTTTTTTTTTTTTAAGATTTTATTTATTTACTTGACAGAGAGAGACAGCGAGAGAGGGAACACAAGCAGGGTGAGTGGGGGAGGGGGAAGCGGGCTTCCTGGCAACCAGGGAGCCTGATGTGGGGCTCGATCCTGGGATCATGACCTGAGCAGAAGGCAGATGCTTAATGACTGAGCCATCCAGGAGCCCCAAAAGTATCTACTACTGAAAAAATTTTAAATACTTCACAACTTCAAACATCACCCTGAACAGAGTGTTTGTACATAAATACCCCAGTATCGGATAAATTAATCATTAAATAACTTGGGATCAATCCTGTCTTCTTTACAGATTCAGGGATTCTGGAATATTAGCTCCTTGTTAATCTATAATATCTCTAAAATAGTCACACTCCTAAGTACGGTGCTTATTTTTATCAAGTACATGATTGCAATAATACTGGATTATGGGTGTTCACAATAGCTTTCTAGTTGCGCAAGATAAACTAATTTTCAACACAATCAAGAGGTAGGCTTATACAGAATCGGAATTTGTGGGTGTCGACTGCTAAAATATTCTAAGTCAGGCAGCTAAAAATCTATCTAGGCAACTGTTCATTAAATAGAAGTCTTCCTTAGTTGAACATTTAAAAAGTAAGCATCAATGTAAGTTATTCATAAGAGTTAACATTAATAAATATATGATGTGCCAGGTTATAACAGATGTCTATAGACATGCTCAAGCTCCTGGGGAAATTTTGGGAAGCAGATGGCATCCCACATCTATTTGTTTCATGATAATTTTGGAAGGAATTAGTGGGCTATGGTAACTTTTGGTATACTAGCAATAGAGCTAGATATGCAACTTAAGGTTGACTTATTTATTTTGTCTTAATAAAATTAAATTACTGCCATCTTATTTTTCAGTAATTCTTATAAGTCCCTATGAAATTTGGCAAAAGGATAATAATCTGCTATTGAATATTTTATGAGGAAAATGCTCTTCTATCTTAAAAGAGAATCATGCCTATAGCATTATGAATTATCTTCTTAATTACCAAGACTGACATAAGGGAGGCATCACGTTACCTCTGAGAGACAAAACATTGGTATTCCTTAGCAACCCTCTATAAGCCTTGTGTTGCCAAAACACTTCAGACGCCCTGCCTCTACCCACACAGCTTTCCTTCCCTTATTACCAACCCAAGATGAAACCAGCCCAAACTGGTTATTGAAAGGGGTGAGGAAGCCTTGCAAGGTTCAACATTGTCTCTTATACTTAAGGCACTCTTCTCTATGGGCTACCTGTGGCGTGAGGGAGATGATTACACACCAACACTAAATATGGAATGAAAAATGGGCTCCCTTCTAATGAGAGACCCCACTCCTGTTGCCAGCCAGAACTGGCCACAGTTCTTCATGATAGACAGGTCAGTGAGGGAAATTATAAGAAGCAGGACCAATTTCTCATTCAGGAAAATGGTGTGGTGAGTTGGCTAAGAGTGTGGAGGCTAAACTCAAATTGCCTGGATTCAAACCCTAGGTCAGCCACTTACTAGTTGCGGGATCTCAGACTAATTAGTTACTCAGTTAGTTAAACTTACATTTCCTCTCCTAAGAGCCAGAACTGGCCACAGTTCTTCATGATAGACAGGTCAGTGAGGGAAATTATAAGAAGCAGGACCAATTTCTCATTCAGGAAAATGGTGTGGTGAGTTGGCTAAGAGTGTGGAGGCTAAACTCAAATTGCCTGGATTCAAACCCTAGGTCAGCCACTTACTAGTTGCGGGATCTCAGACTAATTAGTTACTCAGTTAGTTAAACTTACATTTCCTCTCCTAAGA